TGTTAGTCCAGACCTCTGGATGAGAAATGTCTGCTGACAGGATCCAGGGCGCAAATTGATATACTTCATTCCAAAAATTTGAGCTTTCTTTTTGGGAGGTCTTAAGTCCTCTTGATTTAAGTAAGGTTTTAAGGGAGCGAATTTGGAGTTTTTTCTGGCGTGATGCTGAATTACCCATTATAAAAGGAAGATAGTGTTGTCTAGCATTTAATGTTTCTGCAGCAGCCTGACACCAGGGGATTGGAACACTCTGACAGGTACAAGTCTAGCTGCAGACTACAGAAAAAAAAATGGCCTTTTTAAATCTTGTTTGGCATGAGCCACCTTGAACTTTCAAGTGCTCCACAAGGGCTAGTTAATTTAAATTCTCACCTAACTGGTTTTAGCTGTGGCTTGCATGCCCTGGGGGGCAGGATAACAAAACCAATTAGGGAAGTTTAATTTTAGAAGGAGGAAAAGAGAAAAGAGAAACGGCCAGGCCCCATGAGTGGGGTGGCTTGGGGGCGCAGCTATCTTTTTATTCTCCTGATGGGAGACGAAAGAGAGATTTGCCAGGCCCCACGAGTGGGGAGGCTTGGGGGCACAGCTGCCTTTTTAGTCTCCTGATGGGAGATGAAAGAAACTTGTGGGTGAGATACTCACGAATTCTGCATTTCAGGGGGCGCCAGCTGCTGGCTGGTGCGGAGTTCGGAGGCTCTCACGTTGGGCGCCAGATATGGGCGCGCGGGTTTTGCGGAGCACAAGCTGCTGGCTGGCGCCGGTCTCACACGCGCCACTGGATCAGGTCCCGTGCACTGTGTTGCTACTCGGGTCTCTGGCTCTCCGCGGCTACCGGATGCTGGCAACTCAGCAGTCGCTGCGCTTCCAGGCGAGTTCCGTTCCAAGCTACCGAGCACTCACTCTATGTTCGTGATCCGTTGGCCACCAGGTCACGAGGGGAGGTGCAAGAACGGCGAAAGCAGAATCTTCGCGAGTGAATGTTTACGAAGGGACAGCCCCCTCCGGGGAGATTGAATAAGAGACTGGTACAGCTCCAGATACAGCTCCTGATGCAACTCCAATTTATTAAGGGGAAAACCAGGATATTTATAATGTGGAGGCAGTGGCAAAAGCCTTAGTTGATAGGTGCTTTGTAGGATGCCCCATTTACATGTGGTGGTGGGCTTCTGCCAGGCTGTCAGACAGTGCCTGATTATCACACAGGAAAACCTGGCAGTTTCTATGCCAGAGGCCATGTATCTGTGATGGCTACTTCAAAGATGAGTCAGGAAGAGAGTAGGGGGGCGCCCTGCTGAGAAAAGGAGTCCTTCCATTCGCGCCGAGCCGGCATGCGGCTATCCGGACATGGAAAGACTACAACCCAAAACAGCAGGAGTCCCCAACATCTCCCCCTCTTTGATTTGAAAATGGAGAAGTGCCATCACAAGCCCTAAGGGCCAACTCATCTCGGGAGAATCCAAAGTCTGATAATTGACTATGACCCATTTTTGTAGTGATTTTAGCAATGGCAGTAATTGTCAGGAAAGAAATCTTATAAAACAATGAGTAAGTATCAAAATAATATACAGTATTACCGGGGGGCCAACAAGGGGCAGGAGCCATGAAAACAAGGGATTACTAAGCCAACCTAATTGTTTGGTGGGTTGAAATTTTGAAAATGGATCATTTCAAAGTGGCAGTCATCCCAGGTGGGCTGGTGAGTGAAGAGAACAGTTTCCAATAAGTTAATCAAGTCCCTGGCATTTTTCAGAGAATGGCGCATTCTGTAAATGCCAATTGTAAAGATCACTGCTGGCAAAGGGCCAGTAATGAAAGGGCTAATTTCCCTCTCTGTCTGGGGGCCCGGCTGGCTGGAGGGGGAGGACAACAGTGTCAGGCTATAGGGCTGACCCCCTCCTGCTCCTTGTGGCCTGCGCAGGTCCCTGCAGGAGCGATGATGGTTCCTTAGGGTTAGGAGGTGGGGTCTGCACTTGTGGCGCTGTTGGCGGGATGCTCATCTGAGGGGAGTAGGGTGGGGGAAAGATGTCGCTCTCCTCCGTGCCTCCCTGGAGAATGGGTTTCTCTGCCGCCTTTGGTCTGAGAGGGAGGACCTGCAAAGTTGGGGGGGCGCAACAAGATTAATCAGGGGAAGAAAGGACTTGACCCAGACGGGGGGGCCGTCAGGTCGCTCGATGAGGCCCCGCCAGGTTACGATGTACGGAATCTGGTCCTGGTGGCCCGTACATGGGCGGAAGACATGGTCCTCTACTCTGGAAATCAGACTCAGGTTAAAAGTCCCTTCAGGGGGCCATCCAACATTTAAGGAGGGCCGATCATCCGAACATAAAGTTGTCCATTTCTTCTTCTTTACATCTACACTATTGTTATGGGCAATCGTCTTAACGTCCCCCCAGTGGACTAGTGTAAGATCCAGAGGGGAGATGGGGTGTTACCCATAGTATTTATCATTCCCGTCAATTTTGTCAACAAAGAAATTAGAACAAAGAGCACAAGACACAGGAACAACACAGACAGACAGAGGTCCCAGAATAAGCTGCCGCAGCTTTCAGATGGTCTGGACTCTTGGCTGTGTGACTTCCCCGGCTCGATTATGCCAAAGACCATACGGATAGGACGCGTGTGTCCCAACAGGGTCGCGAGGTCCTCTGAGGTTTCAGATGGACTAGTGTCCTGGTGGGGCGTCCGATGAGGAGCACCCACCCTGACAAGGATGGGAACATCTCCCAAGTCCTCCAGGTCGCCTCGCTAGCATTTCAGCAACAAAGAAAAACTGAGCTCAGATGGCCGTGACCAAAGTGAAAATATAGAGAAGACAGGCACACACACAATTTTACAAAAACTTACCCAGCCGGTTGATCACAAACTTTTTGGGGTCTGTTCCTCTCAGGGGGCGTCTCTGGGGGGATCCCAGACGAGCCCCCAAATGTTATACCTCATTCACGGGACCCCAAGAAGACCACCAAGGACCCAACGCACCAAAAATGCAAAAGCAAGGTTTATGGTTTATTTGGACTCAAGCTCGGGCTCTCAGACTGCACCAATGTAACGGATCCGTGCTGAGAGCCCCGGGTGGGAGAAGAAGGGGCTCTTTATAGGTTAGAGACAAAGGGAGGAGGGGAATAACAGTGTCACTTTGTGGTTGGTCCAAGAATCCCATGTGCGCCAACACACTTTTAAACTGATCGATTGTACAGGATGCGGTAGTGGAGGTTTTTTATTGGCGGGTGCTGTTCTCAGGGTTGTGGAATGCGCTGGCCATCTGTGTGGTCAGGAGTCTTCATTTTTACTCTATAGGGCAGTGTCCATGCCCGGGCTTATCTAATCTATAGTTTCCTGGAAGGGGAACAGCAGGGGAGGAGTAGCAGCAGGCGGGCATTTCAAGCATTTTACAGAAGCTGAAAAGAGCAACCAGTGGGGTGTCAGGAGGGGTTGAATGAAGAGGATCTCCGGGTCCTACATTCCCCCCTTGTCTTGTAGCTGGGGAACCCCATCATGAGTTCCGGACAGTCAGTTCATAAGTGTCTGGGAGGTCTGTCCTAAGGGGCATATAAGCTTCTTGTCTCTGCACCATGAGTTGGATGGTGCCTAACCTGTCTTTTATGAACTGCACTAGTCTATTAAGGATGCATGGCCCTAGGGTGAGTATCAGAAGCAGGATTATGAGGGGACCTAGGAGAGTGGAGATGAGGGTAGTCAGCCATGGGGATTTGTTGAACAAAGATTCGAACCACCCCTGCGTTTCCTGCCTCTGTTTACGTCTGGCATCTAGTCCCTCTCTGATCTTGGCCATGTTATCTCATAACTCCTGAATGGTCTTGGTAGAAGCAACATTCTTCCTGCAAACGGGGTCATAGCCCCCCCAGCTGTAGGAAGAGGAGATCCAGCCCTCTCCGATTCTGCAGGGCCACTTCTGCTAATGAGCTAACAGAATCTTGGAGCTAACTTATGGATTCCTGTAAATGCTGGAGATCAGCGTCCAAACTGATGTATAGGTCAGCGTATTGAGCATTGCCTTGTATGATGGCAGTGGCTCCCGTGCCTATTCCTGAAGCTATTCCTGTACTTACTAGAGTCGCAAGAGTCACAGCTGCAACTACGGGGGTCTTCTTTACAAGCATTCAATAAATGTATGATGGTGAAAAAGAGGAAAGATTGGAGAGAGTTTCAAGTTCTAATAGGAAAAGAGCTTGCTCTTTAGAAAAACAGTACTTCTGGTCTGGGCACATAACTCAGTTGGAGTAGTGCTTCCCTAGCTTGCACAAAGCCTTGAATTTGATCTGGAGCAACATACAAACTAGGTGTAGTGTTACATATCTACAATTCCAGCACTTAAAGGTAGAGGCAGGAGGATCAGAAATTTAAGATCAGCCAGGCATGGTGGTCCATGCCTTTAATTCCAGGACTTAGGAGGCAGAGATAGGCAGATCTCTGGGAGTTCCAGGCCAGCTGTGGCTACAGGGAGATCTTGTTTTTGTTTATAAAAAAAAAGAAAGAAAAAAAAGAACTTCTAGTACTAGTAAACCTATGTTTTCTGAGGGACTAAAAGGAAAAGACTCAGTTTGGTAATAGGAATCTGTGTTATTAAACCAGTCCAGCACTCATCTAGTTCATGGGCAGATTATCTTTAATAATGTATAATTATCCTTCTCATTTTTAACTTTCTTTCAGGGGTAAGCAAATCGGTCATCAAGACAATGTCTGTCATGGATTTTGAAAAGGTTAACCTCGAGTTAATAGAGGCCTTATTAGAGTGGATCGTAGATGGCAAGCACTCCTACCCTCCAGGTAACTGCTTCTTACTCAGGCCACGAAGGAGCCACATATGAAACACTTTGCTCCTGGTGAAGTGGGAATCTACCATACAAACTCTGCACATGAAGGCCACAGGGCAGTAGAATTGAGATCTGAGGCTTCAGAGTCCAGTATATTTCCCAGCTCTGCCATTCAGGAATCTTGTACCCTTGGATAAAATCCTTATCTTTTCTATGCTTTAGTTTGTGTGTAAAATACAGACAGTAATAGTCATATAAAACTTCCTCAACTATTAATAGAAATCATATAGGGGTTGGGGGTGGAGCAGGTGGAGCACCTGCTCAGTGTACCCAAAAGTAAGGTTTTAATCCCCAGCATCATACATAAAAATTTTGATTAAGAATGGTTGTATAAAATTACAAAAGCTCACCAGGCGTGGTGGCGCACACCTGTAGTCCCAGCAGTTGGGAGGCAAAGGCAGGCGGATCTTTGTGAGTTCAAGGACAGCTGGGGCTACAAGGGAACCCTGTCTCAAAAAAGAAAAAAAAAAAAAAAATTACAAAAAGCTCATTAAATTTAAAAAAACAAAACAAAACCTGAGGCACTGCCCTTTAATCTCACTACTCAGGAGGCAGAGGCAGGCAGATCTTTGTGAGATCCAGCCCAAGCTGGTCTACATAGCAAGTTCCAGGCCAGCTACAGGGAGACCCTGTCTCAAAAAAAAAAAAAGGCACTGGAGATGTAGCTTACTGGATAGAGGGCTGGGCAAGGGTACCAGAGGCCCTGGGTTCATTCTCAGTGCCACCTAAAATCCTAAAATCAGTGGTACAAGCACACAGGCCTTTAATCCCAGACACTCCAGAGGTGGAAGATGGAGACATACTTCAACCTCATGCTAGGTTTCAGTCAACTACAGGCCCATGTTGGCTACATAGGCCCCATCTCAAAACAAAAGAAATGTTGGATCCTTCCTTTCTTGGAGCTGGAGAGATGACTCAGTAGTTAAAAGACTTGCCTTGCTGTTCTTCCAGAGGATCTGAGTTCAGTTCATAGAACCCATATCTGTCTACTCATAACTACTTACGACTTCGCTGGCTTTGCAGAAACCAGGTGTGGTGATGTGTACCTGTAATCCCAGCACTTGGGACGTAGAGACAGGAGAATCAAAGTTCTAGGTCATCCTCATATGTTGGGAGTTCTAAGCCAGCCTAGGCTACATCAGACCCTTTCTCAAATAACAAAGCAAGGAAGGAAGGAAGGATACCATAGGTTCCTTTGGTATCTGGGTATCACTAATTTGGTATTTGGTGTGTGGTGGTGTGGTTCACCAGTAGATACAACTGCTAATAATGATTATATTGTTGTAACATACTTGTTGTTGTTGTTGATATTACTCCTGCTGTAACTATGATATGACAGTCACTACTTTTTGATTACTCACTGTCCCCTTCTGGTTCTAGACATCTTCACCTCACTGGTGATTCCTTATCCCCAGAGTGAATATGTGAGATCTCCTCCTAATTCAGTCCTTCACATAATTTATGTTTTTGCATACATGTCCCCTTTTTAGGCCATCATATCTGTGGCCTTTTCTCCTCTGTCACTCTATCATAACATCCAAAGTGACTGGTATTTAGCACTGTTGGAAATTAGAGTTTTGCTTACTGGCCATCTCCTTCAGCATGTAACTCCTTAAGTCCAGTCATTTCTGTTCACTCTGTACTCCTCATGCCCTAGAAAATTGCTTGGAACTTTCAACCATAGAACAAATATTTTTTGAAGGACAGCCAACATAGTGTGATCATTGAGTGGAATAATAGATCAATAAAAGACTTTATGTGGTCATTACACAGTACTTCAGAGAAATGGGAGCATGTGCTCTCTTTAGATTTTATCATTGTGATATTTTCTAAAGAGAATTGTAAGCCATATAAATCATTAAAGTTCCTATTTCTCTTCTCTTGGCAAGTAGTTAGGTGTGGCTAATGCATTTACCAGTGGACTGGTGGTCTGGTTCCTTTCCAAAGGAAAAGACTATTCCTGAAAACAAAAACATACTAGCTGAAAAAGAAATGTTAGAAGATTACTGAAAATCAAACCAGAATAAATAAATATAATTAAGAATCAGAGGCCATGGGGCTAGAGAGATGGCTCAGTGGTTAAGAGCACTAACTGCTCTTGCAGAGGCCCTGGGTTTGGTTCCAAGCACCCACATGGCAGCTAACACCATCCATAACTCCAGTTCCAGGAGATCTGACATCTTCTGGCCTCCACAGGCCTTGCATGCATGTGACTATACAAGCAGGCAAAATGTTCATACACAATAATTTTTTTAAAAAAATCAAAGGCCAAGAGTGATGGTACATACCTTTAATCCCAGCACTCAAGAGACAGAGGCTGTTCAAGGCCAGCCTGATCTATATAGTAAGCTCCAGGTCAACCAGAGTGACATAGGAAAACTCTGTCTCAAAAAAAACAAAAGAATCAGTGATATGTCTGTAAATATTAAAGCTATCCCTGACACATGTGGCCACACCGTGAGGGAGGAGCAAATCATAAAGCAGATAAAAATATAGACAATTTCCCCATCTATATAGATTACTTTACCATTCTTATATTTTTAGCAGAGCATTTTTTAACAGGAATACATAATGGAAAGAATGTGGATCTAGGGCCAGAAGCTCATTATATTGAAGCACCATGCTTATCATCTCTGACCTGTCCTAATCACTGAGTCATGTGTCAGGTACTGATACCTTTCTTAATTAAGGGTGTCCAGGAAGATCAGATGAGGTAATGTATGGGAATATGCGAAGTTTTTTTTTTTTTTTTAAACCTTCAAGATCATTTTTTGGTCCTCTTCAGACTTCCTTTTTTTTTTTTTTTTTTTTTAATGAGCATTTTGCTTGCATGTATGTAAGTGTACCCATACATGCAATGCACACAGAGGCCAGCAGAGGGTGCCAGATCCCTTGGGTTGGAGTTATGGACACTTGTTAGCTGTTACATGGGTGCTGGGAACCAGACCTAGGTCCTCTGGAAGAGCAGCCAGTACTCTCAGCCACTGAGCCACATCTCTCCAGCCCTGAGATTTCTATTTGTGTAATAATTTATATTCCTTATCTTTTTCATGGGGAGAATAACTGTGACTAAAATAATAAGTGATAAGTTCTGAAGATTATGCATTTACCAGTGGTCTGGTACACTTACACACAGGCAGGCAATACACTCATACACATAAAAATAAATACAAAAAGGACATGATTAGTTAATATACTATCTCTTTAAAATATATCTAGCCAAGCATGGTAGTACATGCCTTTAATCCCAGCACTCAGGAGGCAGAGGCAGGTAGATCTCTGTGAGTTCGAGGCCAGCCTGGCCTACATAGTGAGTTCCAGCCCATCTGGGGCTGCAGGGAAACTGTCTCAAAAAGATTAAAAAATTAATTAATTAATTTATTTATATATATATGTATGTATATACTTAAATAACCAGATTAATCAAGTAGTTATATAGTGTTTAAAGAAAAAAAAAATCAGCTGGGTGTGGTGGTGCACGCCTTTAATCCCAGCACTGGGGAGGCAGAGGCAGGTGGATCTCTGTGAGTTCAAGGCCAGACTGGTCTACACGGTGAGTTCCAGGACAGCAGGGGCTACAGGGAGACCCTGTCTCAAAAAGACCAGAAAAAAAAGCATTTCCAGAAAAATGTTTGGATTTCATTAACAGAAGACTCTCGTTGTCCTATAAGGTTAGAAGGATAACTTTTCTATAGAAACAGAATGTCAAAGTCCTAAGGAAGTGTGTTAAAAATAGCTAGGGCTGGGGCTATAGTTCAGTGGTAGAGCGCTTGCCATTTTCCTGGTGTATGCAAGGTATTGGTTTCAGTACACACACACACACACACACACACACACATACACACACACACACAGATGCAAGGTATTGATTTCAGTACAGCGCTTGCCTAGTGATTTTTGTGTAAATTAAAATGTGGTTTTCTTTTTTTTAGTGTGTATAAGTGTTTTGCCTGCATGTATGTAAGTGTACCACATATGTGCAAACCCCCTGAAGCCAAAAGAGGGCATCAGATCCCCTGGAACTGGAGTTATAAGCAGTTGTTAGCCATACTGTGGGTGCTAGGAACCAAACCCAGGTTTTCTGAGCAGCCAGTGCTCTTAACTGCTGAGTCATCTCTCTAACCCCAAAGCGTGTTTTTTCTACATCTGCTTTTCTACTGTAGAAGGATACTACTACTATTTTTTTGTCCTTATTAAATCAGAGATTGTATAAAAGCATGATTTAGTTTTCATTTAAATCCTTTGGATCTTTTTAAAGAAAAAGGATAGTGAAAAATTAACAGATTAGTGATTTAAGATCATTTTATAATCTATATTAGTTTCCATTTATTTTGATTTATTCTTTTTCTATATATATACCCAGGTGCCATACTTGTATTTTTACCAGGACTAGCAGAAATCAAAATGCTTTATGAGCAGCTGCAGTCTAACTCTCTTTTCAACAATAGACGTAGTAATCGGTAAGTAATTGCTTTCTGTCCCCTAAGACTTGCATTGCAGTTATCTACAAAGATGAAGAACAAGGTCTTTTTTTTTTTCTTTTTTTTTTTTTTGTTTTTTTTGAGACAGGGGTTCCCTGTAGCCCCAGCTGTCCTGGAACTCACTGTGTAGACCAGGCTGGCCTTGAACTCACAGAGATCCACCTGCCTCTGCCTCCCAAGTCCTGGGATTAAAGGCATGTGCCACCACGCGGGCAGAACAGGAAGGTCTTTATGGTCCTTGCCCTCCTTAGACTGTGGTGTCCTCTCAATCATATGATCGCTGGTGCCAATGGGAAATGGGCAGACCTGTTTGCTCATTCCACCAGAGAAAGACATTTCTCTTCACTTAGCAGAGTGACTCAGCAAAGTAGCATGTGATTTCAGTTGCTGGATTCCTGAGTAGGAGAGGAATATGGGAGGAAAGCCAACGTTGTAATAACAAAGAAATGTTGTCATTTTGAGAGAAAATAATTTTTCACAGAAGACTGGGTGTGTCTTCACATCTAACTGCAAAGCCAGCTAACAATTGAACACTCCATAGAAATTTGACAATGAAATTTCCTGACTTACATCACCATCTTTGCCTCTCTTTCTCTCTGTACTTAAAGGGAAGATTAGTCTTGGCTGGTTAGTTTGGTTTAGGTTTATTACTTTTAGAATATGCTGGGTGTAGTGACACATGCCTTTAGTCTCAGCACTTGGGAGGCAGAGGCAGGTGGATCTCTGTGAGTACAAGACCAGCCTGGTCTACATAGTGAGTTCCAGGCCAGCTGGGGCTACAGGGAGACCCTGTCTCAAAAAAAAAAAACAAAAAACCAAAAACAAAACAGAAAGAAACAGAATGTCAGTCATTTATTCCTCTTGACTATTTACTACTGAATTTTACCCTAGAACTTTTCCCAAGTTGGTACAAGGTTTTTAGTTTCAGGAACTGTGTTTGTATTTTTAAGAATCAGAAAAAGCTGGGGGGGCACACACCTTTAGTCTCAGCACTCAGGAGGCAAAGGCAATCTGTGAGATCTAGGCCAGCCTGGTCTACATAGTGAGTTCCAGGCCACTTGGGGCTACAAGGAGACCTTGTCTGAAAAAGACCAAAAAAAGAAAAAGAATCAGAAGGAACCTTCACACTTACAAGAGCTGGGCTTTGATGGCTGGTTCAGAGAAGCTGCTGATGCCTGAAGTCGTCTTACTGATTTCAATAGAAATTCACCCACTCTAACCCAATTTAAATGCTTGGTGTCAGAATACTTAATGTGGTTTTATTTCCTTTTAGATGTGTCATTCACCCACTTCACTCATCCTTATCCAGCGAAGAGCAGCAGGCTGTATTTGTAAAACCTCCAATAGGTATAACTAAGATTATCATTTCCACCAACATTGCTGAGACGTCCATAACCATTGATGATGTTGTTTATGTCATCGATTCTGGGAAGATGAAAGAAAAGAGGTATTCTCTTTTGGTGAAATGACAGAGGGACTAAAGATGCCTCATTAAGGGCAATATGGCTCTTAGTGGTACACATATAGGTTGCTATTTGAAGGAATAGTGTGTGTGACTGTGGAGTGATTCCGTAGCCAGCACCAGGAATCTTAAAGTCAAACAAGGCTACAAGATTTAAAGTTTTACCTTGGAAGTAGTAAATTTATTTTCTCATGTGATTTTACATGTGCTTGCCTGAAAAAGGATTGAATAATAAAGAAAATGTGTGTAGTGGCACTTGGTAGTGTTTACATCAGCAATAGCTACTTCCAGCAAGGACTCCATGGTCCTAGAGCACACAGAGCACTTTATACCTCTGTAGGAGGAAGGAAATTACTTGTCTGTGCCTAGTAGCCTTGGCCACATTTTTAAAAGTAACTCTGTAAAGTACTTGTAGGACCTGAGTTCAATCCCAAGAGCCACACTAAAAATCAATCAGTCGCCTGGTCTACATAGTGAGTTCTAGGCCAGCTGGAGCTACAGGGAGACCCAGTCTCAAAAAGACAGAAAAAAAAAATCAATCAGTCAACCAAAAGCCAGATGCGGTGACATGCATTTGTATTATCAGCTCTGGAGGGGGAGAGACAGGGCTCATTGGTCAGCCAGCCTATCCTACTTGGCAAGTTCCAGACCAATGAGAGACCTTGTCTCAAAAATAAAAATCAAGGTGGACAGTACCTAAGGAACAACGGCTAGCATGTCCTCTGGCCTCCATTGCATACACACATATGCACCTGCACACACATACATAGACATATAAAATAACTCATTATTATATTTCCTTTTCCATTGTAGATATGATGCCAGCAAAGGGATGGAAAGTCTAGAGGATACATTTGTATCTCAAGCCAATGCTCTGCAGAGAAAAGGCCGAGCAGGCCGTGTTGCATCTGGAGTCTGCTTCCATTTATTCACCAGCCACCACTACAGTCATCAGCTTTTAAAGCAGCAGCTACCAGAAATACAAAGAGTGCCATTGGAACAGCTGTGTCTAAGGTTACATCTTGACTTGTGTATTCTGCTTCCAGAAAGTCTGAAGGTTTCTCATCCTGTTTAAGTTCCATACTTTGTTTCCTCATAGAAGACATTTTGCTAAGAATAGACATGGATGAACTCATTCATTTGCAGAGAAAGAGCTCTTCAAGTGTGGCCTTCTCCTGTGGCCTTCTCCTTTTCTTTTTACTTTCTGCACATAGAGATCTCTCACATTTATAGAGCATAGCCCTAAAATAAAACTCAAGAATACATTTAGGAAAATGCTGTAACTCTTCAAGGAATGTCTGCTCTGGGAAATATTATTATCACATTTTCCCAGGGGAAAATCTACAGCCTCTTTATCACTAAGAAGGAAGTAACTAAGGGGCTGGAAAGGTAGCTTAGCAGTTAGAGCGCTGGCTGCTCTTGCAGAGTACCTGAGTTCAATTCCTAGTACCCACATGGTGGCTAATAGCCACTTGTAACTCCAGGTCCAGGGGATCCGACGCCCTCCTGTGGCCTCAGCCAGCCCTGCACACACAAATGTACTTACATCAGGAAAACAGTCATACACAAAATAATTTTTTAAGTATATAAAACTTACAAACACCATTATTACCTAATGAACAAATGTCATAAAATAGAATTTAGTGAATAAATGAATAAATTCAATATTAAGTGAGCTGGAGAACCTTTGATTCAATGTTTGTGAAAACTGGTTTGGTGATATATAAGAAATGTAAACAATTTATGCTTCTTTGACTCAGTTGTTAACTTGAGGAGGGGAAGAAAATAACCCAAGGAGTGAGGATTACTCATATAAAGCTCTTTTTATTTTATTTTCCTAAGTGTCAGGCATTGAACCCATGTCTTGTACATGGTAGGCAAGCACTCTTCCACTGAGCTACAGTCAGGCCCTATAGCTCTTTTACATAGCAGATATATTTTGAGCACCTTCTACTTGCCAGACTTTGGGTTACACCATAAAGGTGTAGGATACAAGAACAGTGTGCCCATAGTTGATCTTGAGAAATTGGGGGGCTAGGAGTATAGCTCAGTGGGAGAGCACCTGTCTAGTGTCAGAAAGACCCTAAGTTTGATCCCTAGCACTGCAAGAAGGAAGAGAGGGAGGGAGGGGGGAAGGAAGAAGGGAGGGAGAGGTTAAATTGTGGAAGTAGCTGGGTATGGTGGTACACACCTTTAATCCCAGCACTTGGGAGGCAGAGGTGGGTGGATCTCTGTGAGCTTGAGGCCACCCTGGTCTATACAACAAGTTCTAGGTCAGCAGTTCTAGGCTACAGGGAGACCCTGAATCAAAAAAAAAAAAAAAAAAAAAAAAAAAAAAAAAAAACTGAGATCATAATGGCAAATACCTGGGATCCTAGTACCTGGGAAGCTAAGGCAGGAGGATCCGGACTTTGAAGCCAACCTCAGGTACTTAGCAAGACCCTTCTCAAGATCAGACAAAGAAAAGAGGCTGGGGAAGAGCTAATGCTCTGAACTAAGGCAGTAATGGTGCAATGGAAAGGAGTAAAGGGGATGAGAGAACTTTGAAGGTTGATTGACTTGTGAAGGATGTGAGGGGGAAGTGTAGTACATGTAGATAGGAGATTTTATTGACATGTGCAATAGTAGGAAAATGAGAAAATGACATATGCCAGCATAGCATCCTTGTTTCCCATTTGAAATTTCAGAAGTTCATTACTATCAATGATGACTTAAATGAAATACCTTAAATGGAAAAAATCTAAATACCAAATACATTAATGAAGATCAACTGTGTTATATTGATGATAACAAAATGTATAAGTGAAGTAAATAAGTTGGGTGTGGTGGTGCATGCCTTTAATCCCAGCACTCAGGAGGCAGAGACAGGCAGATTTCTGAGTTGAGGCCAGCCTGGTCTACATAGTGAGTTCCAGGACAGCTGGGGCTACAGGGAGACCCTGTCTCAAAAAGACCAAAAAAAAAGTGAACTAAATAGTATATATATACTTTCTTTTCTGAAAAGTTGCTGAAGATAAAACATTAGCTTTTTAAAATTTATCACAAGGCAAGACACAATGAATACTGATTGGCGGATGGATGGATGCATGGATGGATGGATGGATGGATGCATGGATGGATGGATGGACTGATCTTTGAGATAGATTTTTCACTATATACCCTGTGCTGGGATTATAGGTATGTGTCATTATACCTGACTCTACATGGTTTGTCTGTCTGTCTCTTTGTTTTTGAGGCAGTGTCTGTAGCCCCAGCTGGCCTGGACACTCCCTATACAAACTGAGGCTGGCCTCAGTCTAACAGAGATTCATCTCCCGTGCTTCCCAAGTGCTAGAATTAAAGGCATATGCCACCATGCCCAGCTTCTAGATTAAAATCTTTACAAGCCATTAAGGTCTGAAAAAGAAGAAGCAAAATGTATAATGTTCTTTTTTAAATATATATTTACTTTTTATTTATGTTTATGTGCAGGTATGTACACATGAGTGCATGTGCCCATAGAGGCCAGAAGAGAGCACTGGATCCCCTAGAGCTGGAGTGACAAGTGGTTATGTACTGCCTGATATGGGTGCTGGGAATCGAACTCAGATCTTCTAGAAGAGCAGCAAGCCCTCTTAATCACTAAACCATCCTCTAACACCTTTGTATAATGTTCTTAAAGCTGCACCTTCTTTCTTTTTTAAGGATGAATAGTATTCTGTTGTATGCATTGCATTTTCTTTATCTGTTCTTCTGTTGATAGACATTTAGTCTTCTTCCATACCTTGATTATTGAAAAATAACACTGCAATAAACAAAGAAGCAAAAATATTTTTTGACATCCTGATTTTAAGTTTTTTGGATGTATACTCAAAAGTAGGATTGCTGGATCATGTGATAGCTGTATTTTCTTTCTTTTTTTTGAAGCCTATGTCCTGCCTCCCATGCAGCTGTCCCATTTTCCATCTCCACTGACAGTGCAGGCTTCCTTTCTCCCCCAGCACTTCTTTTATCATTTGAATTCGGTTTCAAAATTTGAACCCACTGCTAAAGAAAGCAGCATTTTTGAAAGTTTATAAGAAGAATTTTATTTTTAATATGAATTAGTTTCAGACTCTGAGAAGTGTTTCTGTAGTTTATTGCTAAGAAAACTAGAAGACATGAGAGATTTTTAAACTTATTTAAAGCAACACTGTGGCTGGGTGTGCTAATGCCTGCCTATAATCCAGATCTGGGGAGGCTGAGGCAGGAGGAGTATGAATTTTAGGTCAGCCTGGGCTACTTAAGAAAATCCTGTCTCAAAAACATGATGAAGTACTGTGTGACTTAAAAAAGCATTTATCTTTCTCACTCAAAGAAAAGAATTCTCTCTCTGTGTCATTCTACCAGATATCAAATTTACACATTATTACTTTGTTTTCTTTTTTCAGAATTAAAATTTTAGAAATGTTTAACGCTCATAATCTCCAATCTGTGTTCTCTCGGCTCATTGAACCGCCACATATTGATTCTCTTCGTGCCTCAAAAATACGGTTGCGAGACTTGGGAGCCTTAACTCCAGATGAAAAATTGACCCCTCTAGGCTATCACCTGGCCTCTCTGCCTGTGGATGTGAGAATCGGCAAACTGATGCTCTTTGGGTCTATCTTCCGCTGCCTGGATCCTGCTCTCACCATTGCAGCCTGCTTGGCCTTTAAGTCTCCTTTTGTAAGTAAACAAACAGCTATGTAGACCAGGCTGGCCTTAAACTCGCGGAGATCCACCTGCCTCTGCCTCCTGAGTTCCAGGACAGCTGTGGCTACAGGGGAAACCCCGCCTCAAAAAGACAAAAAAAAAATTTTTTTTAATTAATTATTGAAATAGAATTTATACATACAGTTCATCCATTTGAAAGTTTATAATTCAATAGCTTTTAGGGACTGAAGTATAATACTTGCCTAGCATATGTGAGACCCTGGGCTTGATCTCCAGCACCAGAAAAGAGAAGGTTTGGTATTGTGTAACCATCACACTGTGATCAGTTTTTAGAGCATTTTGTCATCTTAAAGAAACCCCTTTGCAGCCGGGTGTGGTGGTGTACACCTGTAATCCTAGCTATTTGGAGGGTAAGGAAGGAAGAACACAGGTTCACGGTCAACTTGGGTTATATAATAAGACCCTCTTCTCAAAAGAAGTGGAACCTCTTAGCTATCACCACTGTCCTGTCCTTTCTTAATATTTTGTTGAAGACATCCAAGCCTGGGTTCTTTTGTGAAGAGTATTTTAATTGTCATTACTAATTCAGTCTCTTCTCTTGCACATCTATTCAGATTATCTCTTTGGGGGTCTTTTTTTGTTTAGATTATTGTTTAGTTAATTGAGTTAATGTTTTTTTTCTAGTAATTTGTATATTTCAGCTAAGTTATCTGTATATCTCCTTTTTCTTGGATTCCAATAATTTGAGCATCCTATTGTCTTGGTCAGTCTAAAGTTTCATCAACTTTGTTGCTCTTTAACAACTTTTGATTTTTCTCAATCATCTTTTTTTCTGTTCTCTATTTTAATATCTGTTCTTTCCTGCCTTCTTGCTTTAAGTTTACTTTGCTCCTCTTCTTCAGTGTCTTGAGGTAGAAGGCTAGGTTACAGTTTTGATATGACTCATCTTTTTTAATGTTAACATTATAAGCATCTATTTTTCTCTAAAGACTGATTTGGTTGCATCCCATAAGTTTTACTGCATTTTATTATTTGTTTGTTTACTTACAGGGGCATACATACACACTTTCACACATGTATAGCAGTCAAAGGACAACTTGTAGTAGCTGGTTCTCTCCTTCCACCTTGTGGGTCTCAGGGATCAAATTCATGTTGTCAGACTTGGCTGCAAGCACCTTTATCTGTTGAGCAGTTTTATCAGTCTGTCTTTTGTTTTCATTCATTGAGAAGCAGCGAATCCAGACCAGCTGGGGCTATATAGGGAAACCCTCTCAAAAAGAGCCAAAAAAAAGAAATATATTTTCTTTTTATGTGGGGTTGGGTGTCAAGGCGCTGGGGTCAAGACCAAGGCCTCACACATTTCTTCTTTATTTCTTTTGTGACTCATTGGTTATTTAGGTGTGTGTTATTTTAATTTGCATATATTTGAGCTCCTTGATTTTTTTTTTTTTTTCCCTGTTGTGATTTTCAATTTCAGCTCACTGAGGTCATAGAACTTTTTTGGTATTTGTTCACTCCCTTAGAACTTACTGAGTTTGGTTTTATGGTCAAGCATATGGTCTATCCTGGAATGTTGTATGTGCTCTTCAGGAGAATGGATTTTCTAGTATTGTTGGGTGGAATTACCATGGCATGTTTTTTTCGTTTTTGTTTTTGTTTTGTTTTTTGTCTTTTTGAGACAGGGTCTCCCTGCAGCCCCAGCTGGCTTGGAACTTACTATGTAGACCAGGTTGGCCTGGATTTCACAGAGATCCACTTGCTTCTGCCTCCCAAGCGCTGGGATTAAAGGTATGTGCCACCACACCTGGCTACCATGGCATGTTTTAGATACATGGATGGAATCATTTTCTTCAGTTTTCAGTGTTACACTTTATAAAATTATAAACTCACAGATCTGGAAAGGATCTTAGTCCTACTTCATGATTTAACAACAAATGATAAAAGCAGGCAACAGAAGAGGTGACATGCCCTGCTCAGGGACACACAGTGCTAACACTATGAATTGGATTTCCACTGTTTGTTTCTCAAATCATCTCAATAAACCTCTTACTGTTTTGCTGAAATGTGAACAACTCATTGAAAATGTTAATATTGTCTATAGCCAGGGTTGAGCACTGTCCTTTTCTGGGCTCTGTAAACGTGTTAGTCTCCCAAACATAATCTTTTCCCATTGGCTTTTCTAAAAAGGAAGAACTCTTTCCTTCAAATAGAAAATAAAATTTTGTTGCTGTTTTATCACCTGTAAGTTACTCAAATATACAAAATTCAATTTTTTTTTTTTCCCTTGGTGTTTGTGTGTATCTGGTAAGGTCTCACTTTGTAATGTAGGCTGGCCATGAACTCTTGATTCCACCTCAGTCTCATGAGTTCTAGTGTCACAGGCATGCACCGTCAACATCAGCTTCCAAGGATTTTAAATGGTGTTTCAGGGCTTTGCTTAAGCTTGCCACAAGGAACTTGGATCTTCAAAGCCTGGGAAAAACTAGGAATATCACTGGATTAGAGAGAGAGAGACAGAGACCATCTGTGTGTATGTGCCTGTGACTGTGTGTGAAATTTTAATTATCTGTTCGTCTTACAAATTTTTAGGGAATAAAGAAAATCTCTAAACATTGTAAAGGAGGAAACCATTACTTATATTTATAAAACCAGAAGAAACTAAGATATAAAAGGTGAACAAGGCTGGGCATTGCGGTGCACACCTTTAATCCCAGTGCTTGAGAGGCAGAGGCAGGCCAATCTTTGTGGGATTGAGGCCAGCCTGGTCTACATAGTGAGTTCCAGGCCAGCTGGGGCTTCAAGGAGACCCTGTCTCAAAAAGGCAAAAAAAATAAATAAATAAAGTTAGCAAGACCAAGAATAGCACCTGCCTAATGTGCCAAAGCCCTGGTTTCATTTGTCAGCATGATTAGAGAGGAAAAAACAGCAAAACAAATCCAAAAATAAAATGAAGGTATTACAGAGTTGATGTAGCTTTTAGATTGAGTGGCTCTTTGATGATTTATTTTATTTTATTTATTTTTGCCCTTTGGAACTAAACAAGAAGAGCTTTTCTTAGACTCATTTTGTACTCACAGAAACCAAAAGGCCGTTAGTTTGCCAGTTACTATTGTGCCTGCTCCAATCAGCTGACACACAGACACTTTGTTCCACACAGTATGATTTCCCTAAGTAGCTAGCTTTCCTACAGCAGTAGGAAAGTGCCATTTGAACCCTCCTTCAAATCCATTTTCCTCATTTAGGTTTCTCCCTGGGACAAAAAAGAAGAGGCTAATCAGAAAAAGCAGGAATTTGCATTCGCAAACAGTGATTATCTGGCCCTTCTACGAGCATACAAGGTAAGTATGTAACCTCAAAGCTAGATTTGCCTCCAAAGTTGGCCCCAAAGTCAGAGCAAGTTCAGCTTGATTTTCTCCACAATTTAGGGCTGGCAGCTGAGTACAAAAGAAGGTGCGCGTGCAAGTTACAATTACTGCAGACAAAACTTCTTGTCGGGAAGAGCTCTGCAGGTGAGTTCTTCTGTTTTCATTTGTTTTCCACTGCAGTAGCTCACCAGAGGGCATTACAACTTCATGTCAGCTTGTTCTGTCTGGACAATGAAAATGGTATTTCTGGAATGTGAAGAATGGATTCCTGAACTATGGCTTGAGACCCTCAGTGCTGAGACTTCTGCTGACCTGGTTGTCCTTTCTAATGAATGTGTGCTTTCCTAATATGGAAGATAGAGTAGAACATCAGCATGGTGAAGGTTACTGCATACTAGAGGTCTGTTTCTCAGGGTTATACCAGTTATTTTTAACCTGGATCCATAAACCCCTGAAATTGTATGCAAAATTATGTGCTTATACATACATGCATTACTCTTACATGCATTACTCTTACTCTCAAGAGATTAGTATAGCTTTCACCAGATTCTCAATGGGGTCTGTGACCATCCCTAACCCCCTCACCTTCTCTCCCAAACCAAAGAACTAATACTGAGCCAGATTTTCTTTGTTAATTTTTCTTAGGTCAATCACAACACATTGTTTGTCATTAATAAGCGTAGAAGAGAAAGAAAGTTGTCTTTTCATAACCACAGACAGCTTCTAGCCCCATTGTGGCAGTATTTTAGGCCACTTTCACAGTGGTCTGAGAAGCCAAAATAATGATGGGGCAGATAGGCTTCTACAAAACATTTGTTTTTCTCAAAGGTCTAGAGGCTACAGATGGGCAGGGACTACTGAAACATGGAACCAGGTTCTTAACACTCCCCACTACCTCACATCTTATTTGTTTCCCTCTTTGTGCCATAAGCTGTACCGGAGTAGAGAGCTGATCTGTTTCGTTCAGACTGTACCCCATTGCCTAGAACAGTGCTTAACGCGTAGCTGGCAGTCAGTAGAGGACTCACTGAGTAAATGTGTGACTGAGTAACTCTGGTTAGTGAAGAGACCTCCAGACCATCCCAGACCTTGCCCTCATTCTCTTCTTCCTTTAGGTAGATTATGGTGATATCTTTCAAGACGACAGGGGCTTTTTTTCCAAGAACTTAAAAAGCTGTAATTATTCAAAAGCAATTCTATATTAGACTTACCTAAGAAGACTGTGGTGGGGGCGTAAGTAAAAATGCCTGGTCCCCTCAGGCCACTTAAATCTGTGCGTCATTGACCGTCATTGTTGTTTGGTTTACTGAGTGAACCAAACAGATACAATAATAATTATCTTCTCAAGACTTTAATATCTTTTTTTTTTTTTTCTTTTTGGTCTTTTTGAGACAGGGTCTCCTTGTAGCCCCAGCTGTCCTGGAACTCACTATGTAGACCAGGCCAGCCTTGAACTCACAGAGATCCACCTGCCTCTGCCTCCTGAGTGCTGGGATTAAAGGTGTGTGCCACCACTCCCGGCCCTGACTTTAATATCTTTAAGCATAAAATGAAGGTATTTCTCTTTTTAAAATTTTTTAGGAATAGGGTTTCATGTAGCCCAGATTGACCTCAAACTCTCTATATATAGTCAAGGATGACTTTGAACTTCTAATCCTCCTGCCTCACATGCCACCATTTCCAGTTCATGCAGTGCTAGGAATTGAACCCAGGGCTCTGTGCTTGCTAGACAAGTACTCTACTAGCTGAGATACCTCAGCCCTTTTGTTTGTTTTTTTGTTTTGTTTTAGCCGTGTCTTTATGTAGCTAGGACTGGCCTTGTACTCAAGATTCTCCTTCCTGAGCCTCCAGAGTTCTGGGATCATAAGCATATGCCACTGTGCCCAAGTGGTGCTTCTTTTAAATTACATTTTTTACTTAATTTTATTGTGATTTCAATTAAAGCTTTATCATGAAATAGAAACTGGCATGTTTAATTCCTTGTTTCATTTTGCTGCTTTACCCATGTGCTCTTGGTGTATTACAACAAGATACCTAAATTACCAATAAGAGATAGTAGTGTTGCTCAGCCTTTAGTTCCTAAAATTACCATGTTCTCCTCTAGTGTTTAATATGTAGCCTCTATTTTTGTGTGGTACTATGGGTCAAATCCAGGTCTCTCAAATGTTAGGCAAACTGTTTGCCCCACTGAGCTACACTCGTAGCCCCTGCTCCCTCCCTTTTAAAGAAATGGCCTCAAACTCCCGGGCTTGAACAGTTATCTTGCTTCTGCCTTCCAAGTAACAGGATAAGCGTGAGCCATTCAGTTTGGCTCTTGCAACCTATATTTAAATAGAAGCCTCAAGAGAAAGAGATTTGTACTCTCTAGTATCTAAATCTGACACAGTAAGGTCCCCATTTTCCCAACAGATGCCAGCTAGCAGGACCACAGGTAGGAAGAGAAGGGAAAGTTCTGCAGAATTCCACTGAGAGAAACATAACCACTCTAGGCTCAGATAAAGGACTGAAGACTTCAAAAGAAATGCAGGGGAGGGGGGACAATAAACGGTACTACTAGCAAAATAAATTACATTTATTTTACCATTCTAAGAATTTACGGGAAAATCAGACTTACCATACTCAAATGAAAATGTTTAAAAATGAAATGTGGAGTTAAAAAAATGGCTCATCAGGTTTTTTGAAGGCTTTGGGTTTCCATGTTACTGTCTCGCTCTGCCTGCCAATCTGTAATAAGTGAAAGCTGCTTTTTTGGAAAAGGCAAGACAAGCTTATCTTCATACCTGTTAGATGATCCATAGAAGCCTCGTTACTATCTACCAATGTTACATATTTGAGTCAGTCACTTTGGTAAGTTGATGCCCCCCTTTCTTAAAGGTTTTTCCATTTCTTTCAGGAAATGGCCAGCCTCAAACGGCAGTTCACTGAGCTGTTGTCAGATATAGGGTTTGTAAAGGAGGGACTCAGAGCAAGGGAAATTGAAAAAAGGGCCCAAGGAGGAGATGGTGTCCTGGATGCCACAGGAGAAGAGGTAAGGAATGTATAGTTGTCTTGATCACTTGAATTATAATAGCACATAGCTGAAATGCCAACTCTGGCATTGTGGTCGAGCCCTGTGAGCAGGGTTAGTGGCTCTTAATTCTCCTTTATATGTGTCAGCTAACATTCGTGAGAACAGGGACTTTTCTGTTCATTATTGCTATTTTTTTTATTTTATTTATTTATTTATTTATTTATTTATTTATTTATTTATTTTGTCTTTTTGAGGCCAGCTGACCTAGAACTCACTATGTAAACCAGGCTGGACTTGAACTCACAGAGATCTACCTGCCTCTGCCTCCCAAGTGCTGGGACTAAAGGCGTGCACCACCACACCCGGCCTGTTGCTATTGTTTTTGTTTCTTAAATTTTACACTGGTTCTTCATAAATCTATAAAATTCATAATAGAATTTCTAGTAATTTTTCTCAAAGCCTTTTTCCAACCACGAAAGATTTAGTTATAATTATAGGAAGACTACTTCTTCAAATGAACTTGGTGTTCCTTCATTCTAAGAGCAATTAGTACTTCCAGGACATTCTGAACCTCTAAGAACCAGACTCCCTCCATGATGATTATCTACACTGGCTTTATTCATTTATTTAAACTTGAAAAGGTTCAGGGCTTAACACACACCTCACCTTGGCTCTAGCAAGGGCCCCTTGCATTGCAGTTGGAAAAACTGACTTCTAACTGCTCTTCATGTATCTAGAAAGATAAATCCTATTTGGGGCTGGAGAGATGACTCAGTGTTTAAAAGCACTGGGTGCTCTTCCGGAGGACCTGGATTTTGTTCCCAGCTCCCACATAGTGGCTAACAGCCATCCATAACTCCAGAGGCAGATGGATCTCTCTGAGATGCAGGGCAGCCTGGTCTACATAGCGAGTTTCAGGACAGCTGGAGGTTCATGGAGATTCTGTCTCAAAAAAAAAAAAAAAAGATAAATCCTATGTTATAACAGATAGGAAATGAGATGATCCTTTTTGTTTCCAGGTAGTGATCAAATGAAATATAATGGTAAATTCCAGGGTACAGGGGGAAGTAGTCACATTATTTGGTTAAACATCTTAAATAACTAATGCTGTATTTCTCATAGGCAAATACAAATGCTGAGAACCCCAAGCTAATATCAGCCATGCTGTGTGCTGCTCTGTATCCAAATGTTGTGCAGGTAACTGTACATTTTCCCTAAGTCCTCCATTTGCATGATTTTCAAACCATTTGGAATTTACTTTTAAAAGTGATTTGGGGAACCAGTGAGATGGTACAGTAGTTAAGAGCAATGGCTGTTCTTGAAGAGGACCCAGGTTTGGTTTCCAGTACCCACTTGGCAGTTAACACCATTCCAGGTGATCCAATGCCCTCTTCTGCCCTCCACAGGCATTGTATAACATGGATGCACATACACACGTGTAGGCAAAGCACTCATACACATGAAATAAAAATAAATAAATCTAAAACAAGTTTTTTTTTTAATTGATTTGGGCCAGGCGTAATGGCTCACACCTTTACTCCAAGCATTTGGGAAGCAGGTGGATCTCTTTGAGTTCAAGGCCAGCCTTCCTACATAACAGTTCCAGACCAGTCGGGGCTGACTACAGGGAGACCCTGTCTCAAAAAAAAAAAAAACAATAACAAGTGATTTGGATATAGATCTGCTGATTTTGAATTGATACTAAGGGTAGGTAAGGTGTTAACCTTAGGGGAATTCTGGGTGACACAGGAACATACTACAATATTGCAGCCTTCTCTAACTATGTAATTATTTCAAAATAAAAAGATCTTCAAAAGAACAATATTTGGAAAACTCAAATGGAGCTATGAGGCATAGAAACAAAGACCCACTTAATATGATGTAAGAAATTAGGATTTGGGGCCAGCAAGATGGCTCAGTAGGTAAAGAGGCCTATCAAAAAGCCTGAAAATCTAGTTTGATCCCTGATCCCTGGGACCTACATGGTAGAAGGAGAGAACCAACTTCCATAAGTTGTCCTCTGACCTCCACACTCCACTCTGTGGCACGCATGCTCTGTGTATGTGTGCACACACATACACACAAACACTCACACACTAAATATATAAAATATAATTTAATTTTTTAAAAAGGAAATGTAAGAGCTGGGCATGGTGGCACACACCTTTAATCCCAGCAGCATTTGGGAGGAAGAGGCCAGTGGATCTCTGTCAGGTCAAGGCTAGCCTGGTCTGCATAGTGAATTCTAAGCCAGCTGGGTCTACAGGGAGACCCTGTCTCAAAAAAAAATTTTTTTTTGGTCTTTTTGAGCCAGTGTCATCTCAAAAAATTTTTTTTAAAAAGAAAAAGAAAAAAAAATGTTAAGAAATTTAGGTGACAATATGATTTTGAGGCTAAACCCAGAACAAAAGGTGAAAAATCTAGCTGGGCATGGTGGTGCAGGCCTGTAGTCCCAGCACTTGGGAGGCAGAGGTAGGTGGGTCTCTGTGAGTTCAAGGCCAGCCTGGTCTACATCGTGAGTTCCAGGACAGCTGGGGCTACAGAGAGACCCTGCTTCAAAAAGACAAAAAAAAAAAAAAAAAGGGGAAAAATCTATGTTTAAGAACTCACCAATAATGCCAACTTAGTGGTATACACCTGTTGTCTAAGAAGTTTGGAGGCTAAGGCAGGAGGAACCTGAGTTTGAGGCCAGCCTGGGCTACATAGCAAAACTCTGTTTCAAAAAACAAAACAAAAGAAACAAAATTCAGCAATAATAAATACTTAAAAACATCAAATGTTCTCTAATAGAAAAGTAAACAGAAGACGTGAATGAATATGCAATATATGCACAAAAACAGTGTCCAAGGTTATTAGTACAAGGAAATGCCCTTGTTTACTTTTAACATTGGCATTTTTAGAAAATATTTTATTTATTATCTTTATTTTATGTTTATTATTTTTATTGTCTGGTATGAGTGTATTTGCATGTGTACAAGTGCACCTGTGTTGTGCAGTGCTCGCAGAGATCAGAAGAGGGTTGCCAGCCGCCATGTGGGCGCTGGTCATCTTACCTAGGTCCTCTGTAAGAGCAGTCAATGCTTTTTTTTTTTGTCATTTTGAAACAGGGTCTTCCTGTTGCCCTAGCTGGAACTCACTGTGTAGACCAGGCTGGCCTTGAACTCACAAAGATCTGCCTGCCTCTGCCTCCTAGAATGCTGGGATTAAAGGTGTGTGCCACCACTGGCAAATTTTTTTTAAATGACTAACATTGATGCCATGTGCGTCCTTAAACCACTCTGTATGGGAATAAAAATTTGTATATCCTTCTTAAATATGTTTCATCTCTAGGACTTACTATTAGTAAAGAATTGCAAATATGCGCAAAAATACAGGTAGGAGAATGTTCATTCAGCAGACCATCTATATTTATAGTAATACGCACCAGTTGTGATAGTGCTTACTGTAATCCAGCACTTGGGAGGTAAAAGCAGGAGGATCAGGAGTTCAAGGGCAGCCTCTGCTGCATAGTAAGTTTAAGACCACAATGGCTACCTGAGGGCCTCTCTCAAAAAGAAGAAAGAAAGAAAATGTATTGGTAAAATTACACATACTTAAAATAAGGTACTATATAGAACTTGAGAACTATGTTTTAGGAAAATATTGAACAAATGTAAAAATGTTAATATTAAGTTTTAAAAGGAAGGTTATAAAAAGATCCTGGTGGACTAGAGAGATGGCTCAGCAGTTAAGCTGCTCTTGCAGAGGATCCAGGTTCAATTCCCAGCACCCCCACATGGTGGCTACAATTGTCTGTAGCTCCAGTTCCAGGGGATCTGACACCACCTTCTGACCTCCACAGGCATTGCACAGTGCAGATGCACTTAAATACATGCAGGCAATAAACTCATACCCATAAAGTAAAAGTAATAAATAAATTTTTTTTAAAGATCCTGGGCTGGCAAGATGGCTCAGTGAGTAAAGGTACTTGCCACCAAGCCTAACTGCTTGAGTTTGATCCCTGGGACCCACATAGTGGAGAGAACCAACTCCTACAAACTTCTTTGACATTCACATGGTATGCACACGTACACGCTCTCTAAATAAATAAATAAATAAATAA